TGTTGTCTCACTTTGTTAAGACAAATTACTTCTTCTCAAATAGTAGTCTTTTCTTGCATCAATTATTAATAATAAGTACTTCTTGGTGAACATATGTTGCTGTTTTAATTATAAGAAAATTAATTTGCTCATCAATTAATCTTATTCATAACAAATAGATGGCTAGAATGGACTATGGATTAACCAGACTAAATATAATAGACATTTAAAAGTACTATATTCTTTATCATGCTTGAATACACCTTGAAAGAATTTTATAGATTTGCAAATGGTGTAGGCATTATCATCATTGCAATTCGAAAAATATTATTTGAGACACAACACAAAGCTGCCTCATTCTCACAAGCTTAACTATTAATAGCAGCCAAAGTATAAATTATTTCAAAAGATTGCTATGCTGATTTAAAAATATTGAATACAATATCGAGGGCATCCAGTTTTAGAATAAAGAAGTTAAACAAAGATTTATCATTTTATAAATTCAGTCACTTTATACAGAGACTTTTTTCCATTTACAATCATATGCCTTGTTATTTAAAATAATATGAATCTTAATTTTAAATCTTCACTTGCTACCCAACAAATCTAATTTTAAAGAATAACTTTAGATATTTTACAATTTTATGAACCAATTAAAAAATGTTAGTATTTTCTTACCATATTAATTATGAATAAAACTTAACAGCAATTTATTTCAACAGTAAATGATCTATATTTTTTTATATCTAAAGAACTGAATTAACTTTATTTACTATGAATGTATTTTAGCTCAATTTTATATATAAAAAAATCATAATTATTTGATGATGATTTACCATTTCGAGAAGAAGAGAATGGCTTTGCATTTCATGATTAACTCATATTTAATCGCTAGGGCGTATATTTTAAGAAAGTTCTATAAACACACCAGGTGGGCTGTTGGTAGCTTTAAAACCTTTCTTTCTGAATTTCACTACATCTAAGAATAATTCTCTGATGTTAAATGGTGATGAAACATACGTGTGAATAAATTAAGGTTCTTTAAGAAAAAGCATGTATCTACAAATTTCATAATTATTCTTTGTAATAGGAGTTTTGAGGTGAAGCGATATAGTATCATTATGATCAATATGTATTCCATGATATTTGCAATTATAAACCAATGGTAGTTAGTTCACATATTGAATCATCTTTATTCTTCTTTTTATTGGCATCATGCCACTCTTCCTATGATTGATCCTAAAGTTCCTTGTATTCTCAGTATATATTGACAAAGCTGATGAAATTGGTGGGCCTTAGAGTATATCATTTGGATTGTATATTTAACATTGTTTTTTTAATAAGTATCAACATAAAAAATTCTGCTGTCAATGGCTTCCAGATATTCTACTTCTTCATTTAGAGAACTTATTAGTCTTTTAGTATCTTTGTCTCTCTGCTGTATTATCTAGCTTATAATATCAATGAATATTAAGAATCAGTTATCGCCAATAATAGATTTTTAATCCAGCTTTACATTAATACAATATTCACTTGTGTACTAAATCCGGAGCTTAAGGTTTGAGGAATTCATCCCTATGATAATTGTGTAGTTTTTAAGGAATCGAAGTTCAAGGAATTTTAGTAGATAGTATTATAATATTCCAGAATCATATTTTAGTACTCTACTAGATTTCTCCCTAATTTATGCTAAATCAATAACGCATATGTCTTTTTCCAACATGTATAATCTGAATAACAAAAAGAAGATATTATTAAATTTAATCTTTTCTCTCATTCACCATAACATGAATTGTTCAGCTTGTTACTTTTTCTTGTTTAATTCAGTGTTTTGTAATAATTAATAAGAAATAGTCATCACTCTTGTGCCTAAAGTATGGAGATGATAATTATTTGTTTAATCAATCCATTTTATTATTCAGAGTTATCCTATACTCATTTTATAACTCCCTCTTGTAAGGATTTCTTCTTCAATTCATATGTAAGTAGATCTTGTTATTCGAATAGCTACATAAAATAGTCACATTTATTATTAAAAGTTACTCTTCAATAGAATCTGATGCAATAGGATTACAATTGTAGTACTCTTAATACATGATCCAACAATATGCAACTAAAGAAGAATCTTAAATGACTAAGGACTTTTGTTGATGAAATCTTTAGGTTTATATATATATAGGAATAAATAAAAGTACAACAGCTTCTATCTAATGGACAGAATCCTACAATAGAACTAAAAAGAATGAGACATTATTCCTTGGTGAAATTGATAAGGAAGCACCTAATTGAAGAAAACATATCTTTATTTTCCAAGAAAAATATTAGATGGCTGCAAAACTGAAGATATACTTTGGAAAAAGAGTGTTGAATGAGAAAATCAGATGTAGAATAAAGATATATCATCAAAAATAACATACTGGTAGGAGTAAGAATGTAAGGTGGAGAGAAATTATGAACTTTATATTAATTTATTTAGAAATTACGGATTTGAAGAAAGAATTATTCTTTCTAGCTTTGATTACATAATAGCTGCAATAATTTGGTTGACTTACTTTT